ACCTCCAGCCTATTCTGAGCTCCAGCCAGTTATTTTGGAATCACATCCTGACAGCGACACTCTGCCAAGGTATCCTGACTTCTCCAGCAAAGCATGATGACCATGGAATCCCATGGGAAGCCAATGGAGTCCCTCAGCCTCCTGAGCTTGTTTGATGATGTCATTTACAAAGGATGGAGAGGCATTTCTCCAGCTCAGGGTACCACTTTTGGGGCTTAAATTAGCCCCAAGGCCAGGCTTATGTTCATGAATAAGGCTGAAGGAAGGCACTCCCACAACCACTGTAAAAAGACTTTTCCAACAGATGTGAAGAAAGAGGAGCACACTTCAAGTATAATTTAAAATACATTTATTGTTTCATTTGTTCTTGCTTTTTTTCTTTTTGTTATACAAAGATGTTAAATAACTTAAATACATTCTCAACAGTCACTCAGAATCAGATTTATACCTACAAGCTGTACATATGAGGTAGAGAAAAATAACTTAGGCTCCCATAAGACATTGGAAAAATAAACAAAACAAAACAAAAAGAAAAACAAGAAAAATACTAATCCTTCATGTTAGTATTCCCACCTCCCTTTAAAAGGAAATGCCATCCCAGGTGTGCAAAACAAATCCTAGACTTTACATTCCTGCTTTAAATTATTAAAAGTGGGGTGGTCCAAGGGAAATTCCTGGGCTGGTTTGGTGATTGGTGTTTCAGATGGATCCATGCTCAGGGGGAGCTGGAAGGATTATCCACACATCTCCTGATTTTCCTGAATTCAATCTCACCTCTGCTAACCTGGATGTCTTTATCCCCTTCTACTGTCAGCAGGGAAAACTGGCACCTCCACAGGGGCCAAACACCTTCCATTGGTGCCCCCGCTGACTGCAGACCAGGGGCTGCTTTCCCAAGGGGAATTATTCCAGATCCATTGCACACCAGTGCCAAACACCTCTCCCAACACTCCTCAGGGAAGTCATCTCCTGGCCTTTTGGGTCACCTTGCCCAGTGCTAAGAAGGGTTTTCCCCATTTCTGAAAACACTCAGCAACAACTGAGAGAAAGGCAGAATTCCGATGTTTCCCCTGACAGGTGAATTCGATGTGTCTGCATAATTTCTGGCCTCACTCCCCACTCCCTCCCTGCACCTGAGGAATTGTAGTTACAGGAAGCCAAAGTAAAACTGTGCTGCCAAATCCACTTTCTTTTCCTCCCCACCCACAAAGCCTCAAGATTCCCTTTTTTCTTTTATTTACTCTATTCAGAAATATTCTGTTTGTGAATAATTTGGTCAAATCCAATGTTATTTGGTGAAAAACAGATCTAAAAGCTATTCCATGGTAACACCCATGACCAGGCTTCAGGGGGCTGAGCAGATTCAACCAGGAGGTTGGAATGAGATGGATCTTAAAGACCCCTTCCAGCCCCAAACATTCCATGATTCCTGTGATTCCTCTGGACCTGATCCTGTGCCATACTGAGCCATGCGGTCCAGAAAGGCCACATCTTGTATTTCTTGTGGGAAAACGTCACTTTCTAAAAGTCATCACCTAATTAGCACCCTAAAAAACTGAAATCCAGGGTGAGCTGGCCACGGAAGCCAGACTCAACCCAACAGATGTGTCTGCAGAGCTGGATAAACCGGGAATGAGGAGCTTTACTGCACCTGTTCCACAGGGTACAGAACAGACCGGATTTTACTGCAGCATCAACTGAGGAATTTTTCACAGGCACCATAATCCACCAGAAAATCACCTTAAGCAGCATCTACTCCATGAAAGTACCCTTGAGAAATCTGTCCCTTCATCTGGGGTCTCATCCAAGCCTACCCCAGCCAAAACACCCGACTGTATGTTCCCTAAAACGGGGCAGCTGAAAAACGACGGACAAAGGAATTCCAGACCTGGCCTGAAGGGAGGCAGATGTCAACGAGCTGCCTGACAACAAAATCTCCTCTGAAATTATTTGAGCCCCTGCTCAGGTCTCCAAACCAGCAATCCCAAAAGTTCTTAAGAAAACAGGGGGTCCATAAATCATTCCCTGCTTCCCAAGGTGATGGGCAAACTTCCTGAATCACAGCAGAGTGAATCCCTGGCTCCCCAGTTTTATACTGCCCCATTCAAATAGATAAAAGTTGCTTGTGTTGGATCAAGCCTGGAATTTGGTCCTCTTCATTTAACCTTCCAATGTACTCAGATTCTGATTTTATTTTCCCCAACCACCTTTTTAAGAGCTGTTCTTCCCCAGCCAACTGAGCTCAACAGCAAATCCCTGATAATTGCGGATATATTTGGGATTTCCTCCATCCAGACCCATCTCAAAACCAGGATGTTCAGCTAAAAAAGGGTAAACTTGAAATTTTAAGAGAGATTTTTTTATCTTTCCATTACAAGCTACTCGTTTTACATAACTCATTTTTAGCATTAATAATGATAATAATTAAAAATCCCCCTTGATTAAACACTGCTTGTTTCACCAACTGGAGTTTTTGATAACTGGAAGATAAGGAGAACATAATGTTTAGGACTTGTTTTGCATTTCTCCACATCCGGCATAAATGAGTCAGTCACACAGAATAGAAGCTTGTTAAAAAACAGATGACGGGTGCAACAATTATTTCTGTGGGTTTTTATTTCTTTTAATAGAAAATTCTAATATAAAACAGCAAACGTTTTCAGTTTGCCTTGTTTACAAAAATATTATATATATTTTTTTTATATTTCTGACATAACTAAAATGCACTATTCAATAAAAATATTCTTCCATCAGCTAACTTCTCTTTTTTAAAAAATTAATAAAAAAGTTATATAAATAATGGTTGCACCCCCCTACCCCAAAACTGATCGGGTTGGATCAGCTTAGGAGAACCAACACTTTGACACTTTTGGGGGGACAGGGGGTGAAAGGGGGTCAAGAACCAGAGATCTCCCCTCCACCCATCTGTCCTTCTCCAGTTACATCTGAGCAAAATCCTGTTTCTCTGGGGATAAGAAAAAGGGGGAAAGTTGCTTTGCACTTTTTTTTTTAATATATAGATATATATACGTATGAAATGACACCATGAAAAAGTTCGGGACCCAAATCCACCGTTGAAGTAGTTTTACAAAACCGAGCAATTTCACTGAATTGCACTGGAGATCCAATGGTGTGGTGGCAGAATCAGCCTCTCTGGAAAAATCCAGATTAATCCAGCTGGGACAAAAAGGTTTTGCAGGACACTCCGCAGTGTTTTATACAGGAGTTCCCAGTCTCTTGTTTAGGGTTTTCCAGACTTGTGGATGGAGTAGCACTTGTACTCCATGAGTAAATTCAACTCCAACACATCTCTCACCATCAGAAAACGCAGGCCTAGCACTCCAAAGGGTTTTGAGATGGTTTGACATCTCTCTCCCAGCTCCTATTTCAGCTCCACTGGATTTTTCCAGAAGGAGGCTTTTGCCCCAGTTCCTTCTTCAACGATAAGGCAAACATTGGAAAACGCTGGAACTAAAGACCCCCTGCCCAAAACACACCCACAGCGTGGTGCAGGGGGGAGAAGAAAAATAACCCACATTTGTTTTACCACCCTAGGTCAAAAGGCCAAGAAGACAAGTTCTCCTGATTTCAGAGTGTTAGTATATTTTATACACTGCCTATACATTTAACACATGTGCCTCGCTACTATTTAGTTATTTATAATTTTTTTTTTAACCACAGGAGAATAAACCTTGCTATTTACAATATATAACAGGCAAGTACTATATCCACATGAACATAAATACAATTTGTGGTGGTTTTTTTCTTATTATTCTTTTTTTTTTTTTTTTTTTTTTCTTTTTTTTTTTTTTTTTTTTTTTTTTTTTAAATACTTACAGAAAGCATCCAGGCTTCAGTGCGTGAGTTATAATACACAGAAGAGCTCTTTCACTCAGTAGTTCATTCACTCTTTGCTGCTTTCTTCTAGACAAGCTTGGACAACCTGCCTTATTTCCCACCCATGTCTCTCTCCCCCACACTGCTGAACACACCAAGATTCCCTATCCCATCCCATCCTATCCCAGCATTTTTTTGGCCAGGATATCCATGCCAACACTCCCCTCTCTTCTGCTTCTAGGGACTCATTCTCCTCTCACACCAGTGCAATGCGGAGTTACTCCAGCGAGGTCAACGGAGACAGAGACACCAGTGAAAAGGAGGAAAATGAGGCCCATGGTTTAAATATAACAATAATAATAATAATAATTAATAATAATAATAATAATAATGCACATAAATTGCGGCCCATCCTTTAATTAAGAACAGATTAAAAAAAAAGAAAGAAAGAATGTAGCCAGAAATAGTAATTCAGACCCCAAAATTCCTGTTTTGAGCAGGTTTGGATCTGGCTTTACTTTGAAGGGGAAGAGCTATTCTAGAACACACAAAAATGTAACAGTGAGTTTGCACATATGTGTGAGAGAGAGAGACAGAGGGAGAAAGAGAATTTAACATAATACCACATTGAAACCATAAGAAGGTCCTTCTGAAGGGCTTTACAATAAATAAATGTTCAATATTTATATATATATATATATATTTATGTGTCAAGGTGTGCATATATATCTATATATACACACTGAATAATAGGTTTCTAGGCGATTTATTTTTTAAACCATTAGATAAACTGCTCGGGGGTGACTTTCTCAAAAGCTGCAAGACCTTCCCGGTGCTTTGCTGGTTTGGAAGGTGGGAATTCCACATGTGGATTCCACCTTCGCTCCTCCAGCATTATCCCAACCTCCAGAATGGTACAGCAAATAAGGAAACACCAAAAAAAGAGACATTTTGCTTCACTCTGCAGAACCATGGTGCTATTAAACAGTAACACCCTGTCCCTCCTGCTGCCCCCTCCTCAAGATTTGATGCCAACGAGCCAGGCTGAATTGCAGGTATTTGTTACTAAGAAAACCCCAAATCTATCTTCTCTATTCCCAGTAGATGCATATGAACAGCTTAAATATTAGTGGCTATAATTGGGGGGGGGGGGTGGAAATTAAATAAAAATAAGGAAAAAAAGACTGAAAAATAACAGTTCGTCTTGGCAAATTGCTCTCATTTTGTCTTACTAATATTTACTAATGCTTGAGAATCTCCTCTTTTGAACACCAGATCAATGGCTTATAGAAACTTGGTGGAAATTGCTACTACTGGACAATCAAAAATTGCTACCAAAAATCAAACAAAACACCCTCTGCTCCCCATTTTTTCCTTAGAAAGCTTAATTCAGGCATTTGCTGGCTGCCTCCAATCCACTTTTATACAAAGAATATTGGCACGCCAAGTCCTGGATTGTAAATCTCCTCTTCCAAGCAAAAAAGAAATGCTGGAGGTTGTCATGTGTTTCACAGCGTTGGAGTGATGAACCCCTGCAGTCAAATTTCTGGCTTCGCTCAGGTTGTCTCTGTGTCGATTGGTTATTCCAAATCCATGAGTTTGTTAGGATTTAGCAGGTGTGTTTTTAAAGTACAGCTCTCGATCTAGTGGTTAAAAAAAAAAAATCATCTTAAGGTCATAGGGTTTACATACAGCTTGTGTCATGTACCACTGCCATGGTTTAGAGTAAATGGAATGATGACCTAGGAAAGAAAAGTCAACTCCTCCAGAGGTCTGATCCAGGCCAAAACGGCTGCTCCACAAGGCAAGACAGCCCCAGCTTCCAAGAGGCACTCGGATTCCTCTTGTCCTACTCAAGAGAAACACGTCCAAATTCAGCTGGCATAAGACTCAACAAGTTCCAGTTGGGATTTCTGAAGCAGTTACCACAGGTTGACCTCCATCAGCAAGAGGTGGGAAGAGGAGAGAAAAATAAATCATGCGCGAAGTGAAAATGAAACACAAGTATCTAGTGGTTTAAAAAAAAAATTAAATTTAAGACAGCGATAGTGCTAAAGAGCCTGCATTTGGGTGAATTGTTTTAAATAAAGAACGGGATTGGACTGAAGGGGACAGGCACGTCTGGTGTTCTGCTGTCTTCCCAACCTCTTTCTTGGATCTATTTCTGTCTGCAGCGTAGTGGACCCAACGTTTCCGAGCTGTACGTGGTGACGATGCACATGGATCTGGAGCTGTCATTAAAGAGCTGATGCTCCCAGTGGGTGTCTTTGTCAGAGCCTGGTTTGCTCCATGTGCAGAAACTCCACTGGAAGAACCTATCATTCCCTACAAATCGCTCTCCAGTTTTAGGAGAAATAAATGTCCGCTTCCAGCACCACCGCACTCAAGAGTGGAAAGATCTTTTGTATCAGCTCTCTAAGCAGATGGGTAAGCTCCAGGAATAAAGAAGTACAGGATATTCATGCCAAAGGGAATCTCTTAGCCCAGGAGTTCATGGAGGATGGCTGAAACAACGTTCCAAGGAGAAATGATCCGTCAAACTACGTAGACAACGAAGGTGAAGGTCAACTGGTGTCTAACCCCAGTGTGACAGGCACTTATTTCCACACGGTTGGACCTCATGAAAATTCAGTCTACAGGATAAACAAAACAAAAAAAAAAACAAAACAAAAAACCCCAAAACAAAACAGCAACACAGCTGGGTCACCTGTACCCTACAAAGTGCTCATGTCTCAACATAGCTTCCAGATGCCAGAAGGTCAATCAAACCCTGTTTGTCTCCATAGGCAGTTCTCCAAGCTGGCCCATCCCCGGGGGCGGCCGTGCAGCAGAAGCCGCAGGTTGTGTCAGTCCTTGCAGGTGTAAACCTCCTCTCTCTGGGTGCACTGCTTGCACTCCACGTAGCAGCACCAACGCACCTGGCACTGGCACGGGCGCGTCACCACCCGGCTCTGCGTGTTGTGGCCCCGGCCGCAGCAGATGCTGTCGCAGTTCTTGTCCTTGTAACACTTCCGTCCCGAGGTCCCGGGGGAATACCGACTCATCAGGCAGAAGCTCGGGGAGTCGTCAATGTAGACGAGATCCGTAGTCCTTGGGATTTGATCGCTGTGGCCGGGGGTGGATTTTTTAGGGGGGGAAATGTCGCCTTCCCCCGTGGCCTCGTTGGTGGTGCTGCCCACCTTGAGCGAGGTCTCGTACTTCTGCTTCAGCTGCTTCCCGATCTCGTGGAAGGGGGAGAGCTGCCTCCAGCACGTTCTGACGGTGCAGGATCCGGACACGCCGTGGCATTTGCAGGTGGTCTCCACGCCGGCTTTGATGACCTGCAGACACACACACGGCCCCAAAGAGAATCAGTCATGGCGGAGGAAATCAAAACATCAAGTAAAACACGACATTTTCTAGAAGACGCTTCAGGGACACCAAGTTGATGACAACGCAAAAAGTATCTGTTGGAAGCAGACAGAAAACACATCCTACAGGAAATATTTCAAAAGGCTCTTAGTTCCCAGAGTATGACGTTCACCCACAAAAGCTTTGCTTAATTGGCTAATTAAAGATACTGAAAAGGTGCACAAAGATTGTCCAGTGCTGCCACTCATTGTGTAGACAGAGATCTGAAACTGTGATACAACTTAAGAGGTTAATACATATTTTAACAGCTATTTGTCTTTGTCAATAATAAGTAGGTAAGATATAAAAGTGGAAGAAGTGGAAAGAGGTGGGGTGACACATGCTCCAGACCACAGGACCTCCATACCACAGGACCCCAAACCCAAGTACGAGCAGAAGGAATCTTGGTTTAGCACCATCAACTGACTGATGCATACAACTTAAGAGGTTAATACATATTTTAACAGCTATTTGTCTTTGTCAATAATAAGTAGGTAAGATATAAAAGTGGAAGAAGTGGAAAGAGGTGGGATGACACATGCTCCAGAACAGGAGTATGGACAACAGGAACCTTCTCCATATCACAGGACCTCAAACCCAAGTACAAGCAGAAGGAATCTTAGTTTAGCACCATCAACTGGCTGATATTAAACAAAGGATCCCATCCTTTTCAAATCAACTGCAATGAAGAAGTTTCCCAGAGTATGACGTTCACCCACAAAAGCTTTGCTTAATTGGCTAATTAAAGATACTGAAAAGGTGCACAAAGATTGTCCAGTGCTGCCACTCATTGTGTAGACAGAGATCTGAAACTGTGATACAACTTAAGAGGTTAATACATATTTTAACAGCTATTTGTCTTTGTCAATAATAAGTAGGTAAGATATAAAAGTGGAAGAAGTGGAAAGAGGTGGGGTGACACATGCTCCAGACCACAGGACCTCCATACCACAGGACCCCAAACCCAAGTACGAGCAGAAGGAATCTTGGTTTAGCACCATCAACTGACTGATGCTAAACAAAGGATCCCATCCTTTTCAAATCAACTGCAATAAAGAAGTTTCACGGCACAAAACCACATCCATCTACTTAGAAACAGCATTGGAATGTTTCAGCTCCCCTTCTCCAGAGAGAGATTTACAACTGGGGTACCCCCATGGGCAACACAAGAGCAGAGATGTTATTTGGACAGCCACAGATACCCCACATTTTGCCCACGGATTATAAACACAAATTTGTATTTCTAATACTCCCACCCTGCCCCTTCCCCAAAATTAGGTTCTGTTGACTTTAAATGGGTAAGGTACAACCACCCCTTAAAACAGCAGGTGAGGACAGTTTGCTTGGCAGAGCTGGGTCCTGACAAGGTACCAAAGTACTGTTGAGTGCCCCTCCTTTGGGCATCTACGGTACCTAAAAAAGAAGAAAACAACCTCCCCCCGTGCCCATGATGGCATCTGGCTATGCTGTGGCCTCCTGACAGCAGAGAGCTGGCTGCAGTCCATTTCCTGACCATCCAGTTCTTAATTATTTGGCTGCACAAATCCTGCTGAGCCCCATGTGCAACCGTGCAATAGGTCATGGACTCGGAATTGGGGCCTGGCCCAATTGTGATATTCCAGAAACATTTTTAGAAAGACAATATGCATAATGCAGCCTTCAGCAGAGCCTGTCCAATGGTCACACTTCATTCCTGTGACAGCCAAAGACCTTTGCAAGTGCAATCCAATAATACACAGTAGCATTCAAAGCGGTGACGGGTTACAGGGGGAGATGTGTTGCTGGTTATAGCGCTCAGCTGGGATGGCTTGGGTAAGGGCTGTCACGCTTTGTGTGCCAAAGTGTCTCGCCAAGTCCACAAGAAATCCCACAATGTCAGACAAGAGCGTGCAGAACACATTTCAACACCGAGGAGGGGGGGGAAAACCCCAACCCTCACCCGTCCCCTCCCTCGTGTAAAGTCCCGTTTCACTGCTTGTCCAGAAGTGAGAGCTGAGTTCATGTGAAACAAAGCTCCTCCACCTGATTTCACGCCCACACCATCAGCAAACCGGGCAGAAATTGCTGGGATACTTGGGAAAGTGCTGCACACTGCAGTCATTCATCAGTTCAGCCTTTCCTCAACCTTTCCTCCTCCCCCAGCGCATTTGCATCTGCTCCACCTGGAAAAGGAGACAACCCCCATTGCACAGGAGCTGGGAAGGCAAGAAACCAACGGGAACTGGCTCAGCTTGTAGTCGTGCTCCTGGGCTTGGAGCTGATTGAACAAGACAGGGTCATGAAACTCGGGAAGGGAACCTGGAGTCGGGGCTGTTCTTGTCAGGAGCCACCTCTCTGGAGCTCTGTGGGAGTGCTGACGTTGCAGGAGCACTACAGCCAAGGCGTCCACGTGGGGCTGGTGGATACAGCCCAACACGTGTTGGAAAACCTGATCCTGATGGATTGGCAGCTGGCTGATGGCACAGGACCTTCAGTCAGGTGTAAGCATGTAGGTTTAGGCACTTGAATCACATCAGCCAGCCAGGGTTGACCTCACCGAGGCAAACGCTCGAGTTTAAACACCTCAGTTTGAGAAACACCTCAGAACTCTCATCGCAGTCAGGGCAGCCAAAGCAGGGGAGGACCCTGCAGTGAGGCAAACACCTGCTCCACTGAACAGCTCTCCAGGCTCCCACTGACAGCTGAGCACATCTCTATCACCAACAGGAGCCTGGGGACCCAGCCCACACAGAGGCACCTCAGTTCAGGGAATTCTGTGAGCAGAATCCCACCCTCTGGGCCAAACTCAGGTGTTTAAATATTTCAACCTAGCACTAACTGAGGTGCTTTAAAACATTCTCCTTGCACCAGCTGTCCTGGCAGCAGCATAAAGGTCTCTCAAGGGGTACTAGTAAGTGTATTTAGGTAATTTAATTCTGTTCTCCTCATCTGGGCTCAAAGTTCCACATGAACCCCAGTCTGGATTTTCCTGACTCGCTTCTAGCTCCTTGTTAAGCAGTGGCTGGGACAGCTCTGGTGGACCAAAGCATAAAAGGTTTCCATTGTCCCTATCCCCATGAATGCACCAGTTAATGAAATCCAGCCTGTGGATTTTCCTACGGCTGCCGTGTGAGCGCGGTGCATCCCAACCGCCCCGTAAACCTTCTCCTGGAAGGACCGGGACGGGCTCAAGAATGTTACGAGGCAGCAAGAGTGAAAATCCTAGAAAAATTCCCTGCCCAGGCAGCCTCCCCTGCTGCTGTCAGTCACGCTGCAGCTCCTCGAGGCGCTGCGTGATGGGGAACTGCTGCCTCCGGGCCCCAGCCACCCACGAGCCAAAATGAATCTTGGCAAAGCCCTTCTGGTTCCCGTCCCGCTCCCCAGCTTCCACAACGACCTTTCCTCCTCTTGCTGCAAGCTCCTGTCAGAGACACTTAAATCCACCTCATTTCTTCAGGAAGCAGAGCAAGACTGATCCAAGTCAGCAGGTTGCTTGGAGAAAGCTTTGCTGGCTGGATCCTGGGACAAATGTCTGGATCATGCTTTCAGACCTGAAGGTCTTCTATCCTTCTTCCAGGATAGAAAAACACCGTTTTTATTTCCAAAAAACTGTGGGTTAGATGAGGAAGAATAAGGTTTTACCATAGAAAATCATATTTCAAGAGCTGTAGTAGCCCCTGCTTTCTTTTCAAGGCTCATCACAGTTCAGAGCCTGATTTACCTCCATCCTACACAGACCTGAACCTGTTCTGAACTCACCACTGAATAATCACTTCATCCACACCAAGGATGTGGCCACCTGCACCTTTGTCACAGATGTGAAGCAGAATGGCTCAGCTTCCATCCAAGGCACAAAATATTTTGTGCTCCCCATGGCCCCAACTCCACAGCTACCACACAGCACCGGGGTTGTAGTAACTCAGGGGTAACAGCAAGAAGGAGCATCCTTTCTGTACTGTGTGCTGTAGAGAGCTCCTACCATGAAAACAAAGCCAAACAAAGACAAGTGGTGGGTCAGGGATGGCATCACACATGGAAATTCTGTCCTCCCTCTCTCCTCTGAACAACCACCTGGTTTGGCAGTCTCAGACAGAACAAATTGGGAGGAAAATAAGGATTTTTGCACTACTTCGCTTGACTTAGGAACACGAATTCCCACTGACCTTGCCATGAGAACACCCAGTACTGACAAATGCAGAATGAGGAAAACACAAAGCAAGACAGAACCGTTTTTCCTGGGGTTTTCCTGCTCGGAGGAAATCAGATAGCACTGCTGGACTGCCTTCCCAACTGGCTTTACATGGGGAAAGGGATCACAGCAGAGCATTGCTATGCAACATGTAATCCTTCCTCCCAACAATGGTGCGCCGCGAAGCTCAGACTAAGTGCCCCCGTCATGATCAGTCTCAGACATGCTGCAACACACAATTTCTCAGTGTTTTAGCTGAAACGCCGAGGACAGGATTCCCATTCATTCCCAGCTGGGTCACGGGGCTCTGGCAGTGGTTTTTTTTTTTTTCAGACAACTCTTGTCTGGGCAGCAGCAGCCCAGGGCGGACACCCGGCCGTGGGAATTCCTCGCTTATTGCTCCGCTGTCGTCATGGCTGGGCTGCGGCTCCAAGGCTTCAAACCATTCGCTATGGTTTGGGGGAGAGGAGGCAGCAAACCCTCCTGGCAGGCAGCTCATCCAGGGAAAAGCCTTGCCTGGCTTTGGGAAGGGCTTTGGGATGCTTCCCCACAAACCCAATCCCCTCCATCCCCCTCTTCAATTTAAATAGGCTTAGTCATCCTCTCAGCTCAAGAATTAATGTTTGTTTGGACAGCAGCCACGGTCCCCACACACAACCAGTGGACCAGACTTGTCCCTTCACACTGGCCAGTGCCACTGGCTGAACTGTAAAAGTTTCACAGATTGTTAGAAGTTGTCCTTTCTTTTTTCTTCTACCTTGT